GCCCCGCTTTCATTTGTCAGACACGCGTTTCCTAGTGTTGCGGAGGAGGCAGTACACCTGTACTGCCAGCATTTACAACGCCTTGCTCCGGGATGGCATTGATTTGGGAAGGGTGACATACAAATGCAAACTAATTAAACACTGCATAATGGAGCCCTACAGGAACACCGTAGAAAAACAAATAAACACGAGTGCAGCTGGTGCAGCGATGGTACCTCTGCCCTGGAGCAACCGTCTGGTGACATCAAATTATAAACCCCGAAAACCCTCACATCGTCGCAGTTGATCATGTTGGAGGCATAATGGAAATGATCTGGTTAATTATGGGGAGGTTTATAAAATATTTACGTGAGCACGCACATGTAATTCACTTCCTCCAACACTCACCGGGGCACTGTAGGCCGGGCCACTGTGTCCCTTTCTCTACCTTGCAACGGTGGGAAAATCCCGTGGGTTGGGAAATCTCCAAGCTCCCAGGCACATTTTGCCTGCCCCCTCACCCGCCTGCCTTCCTCCTTCGGGGTAGCCAAACCCCCACTCTATTGAAGCACTGCTCCGAGAGTCTGAATCATCCCTGTCCATCGCTTTTGGGCCTTTTTCCTTTTGATGTTTTCCTGGAGCCTCTAGGCATCTCTGCTGGTCCCATTTGGCATGCCGGTCTGGAAGAGAGGTGTCCGCCGTCTTGCAAGTTCAAGGCACTACTCTAGGTCAGGATGCACCAGAGGCATCTTGGACAAGCTCCGCGCACCCCCTCCCCCCGCCTTGGCATGGCAGGAGAACACTGTCTGGGCACCCAGGGGTTGGGCTGAGAGGGCCACCGGATCGTTGCATCCGACTGACCCCCTGGGTACCTGGGTTACAGCTGCATGCTCCTCGCAGGTCATCGTTGACTGTTTTGGCACTCGCCTTGCAGTTGCCGTGCCGGTGGCTTTCTGGGTCCTGCCGGAGAAAGGTGCAAAGTCCTAATGAGTATTTAACAAGAGTCATAAATCAGTGCGCTCGCGTTGGGGCGGAGGGTCTGGCAGAGTCCGGAAGCCCGGGCTAGTCAGGGCGCCCGACCGGCCATCAGCACAGCAAAGAACGGCCGCGTGAAAGGCAGGCAGCGGATGAGGCCGCAGCGCTGTCCGCTGCACCCAGAAGGGTCTGTTTTGCAGTTCTCGGTGTTAAAGGCAGGTCCCCGCGGTGGCTCCAGGGAGTGGGCACCCCCCACCCCTTACGCTGTCTCCTCTTCTCCAGACCTAGGTCATTGGAGCTTCAAAACAGTGAATAATTATTTTGTAATGAATTAAATTGTAAATGAGGATGCTGTTTGGTTTGTTTCATTTCATTCTTATGTAAATACACCAAGGGGTTGTGGTGGGAAGGGAGTGGAGACTGCACTGAGAGGCTGGGGACTGAAATGGATGCTCTTTTTCAGAGTTCTGTTAGCAACACCCTCCTGTTTAGAAAACTACCCCCGCCCCAGCCCCACAAGGAGCAGCTTTCCACCAAGTTTTGAAACCAATTTAACTGTCAACCTGATTCAAATGCGATTTGTTCATCAAGTCGCCCTGAGCCCTACCCCACTTGCCAAGGCCTCAGGGCTTCCTCCCCTTCCCCCCTCCTAGCTGTGGTCCGCACCCTAGACGGAGCCCTGTGCACCCATGGGTGCCTCTGAGGCTCACATCCGAGAAGGAGCACGACAAGAATCCAGGCTTTCCAGCCAGAAGATCCCAGTCAATGGCTACTGTTGAGCTGGGCTCCGCGGGGCCGTGCCTGCGACGAGAGCCACCTGCCAACGGTCCTTGAGGAGCACCGAACTCCCAGACCCGCAGGGACACTGGCCGGACGGAGCTCCGATCAGACAGCACAGCGACCCCGCAGTCTCCTCTGCACCGCTGGGCGGCCCTGCCTCTGTCTCGGTGATGGCGGAGTGACAATGGGAGGGAGCCGCTCCAGACCCGTGGTTGGGCTGGCCGGAGGGATCCCATGCCAAGAGGCAACAGTGGCTGAGGGTCTGAGAAGCCGGCCTCTCCTAGTTTCCTCACCCAGAGCCACACGCTGGAGGCCATGGGTTTTCAACAGTGGGATGCAGGACTCCCACTACTCATCCCCCTCCAGTGCCAGGGGTGGGGAGAGCAGGACCCAGCTCCTCCTTCCTACTTGCCCCGTAGCACTGTGGCCAGCAGAGGGATGGCCAACCCGAAAGGGCGGAGCTGGTGAACTGGACCTGCATGAGGAGTATAGTGAAGTCAGGCCAAGGTCCCTGGCAGGAGCCTCTCCTGGCTCAGGCACGCTGGCCTTCCGCAGCCCTACTCAGACATGTGATGATCAAAACTGAGTAGAGGGCTTACCTGAGGGAGGACACTGTCCTTGGCAAAGTGGAACCACCAAGTTCTCAGTCCTTCTCTGCCCTCCCCATCTCCAATTGGATGCTTTGGAGACAGTTTTCTTATAACTTCCTAGTCCTCTTCATGGAAGTTTTCTGATAAAGGGCCAAAGAGAAAGAAGGGAAGAGATGACCTAAGTCACTAGGGTCTTCTAGGCTCCTAGCCCATAGCCCCAGGCAGAAAATGGTCACATTTGCAGCTCTGGCACCTTTCCATGGCTCCCTTAGGACAAGTCCAGTCCTTTCTAGTTCTAATTTCCTCCATAATGGGCTAATCTTCAGGCTGGTTTCCAGAGTAATTTCCCCCCCACTCACCTGCTAGGTGTCTCCAGGAACCTACAATCATTACATGATCTGAATGGAGGTAATACATGCAGAGCATGGTGGGGTGGCATTGCTGGGCTGGGAGGGTCAGGACAAAGCCTCCTCTGATAGCCCCTCCCCTGCCTGATTCTGATAGCCACAGGGTGCCAGATGTCAAGGTGGAGGTTTGCGGGTAAGGTGGGAAGGAGATGATCAATCCTTCTGGCTGGATCCTGACACTGGTTTACATTCCGCCTCATTCTCCTGGTCACACAAGAGGGCTTATCTCACCCGTGTTTACCTGTTGCCCTGAAACGTGACACTGGAGTTTGCTAAAGGAAACAGAGGTGGAGCTGGCCCTTTGGTTTGTTTTCCATGCTGGGGAGAAGGGGTTGGGTGCCCGGAGGTGTGCTGGGGAAAAGAAGAGAGCTGTGGTTAGGGACTTCCCAGAGCAAAAGTGCCCAGCACCTACCCCCTGCCTCCAGAATCTGTCACAGAAGGAAAAGAGCTCATATAGTTGCAGGATATTTCTGGAGAGAGTTGGGGCTCCTGGGGGAAAGATGGGGGGCAGCAGCATGAAAAAGAATAAAGCCCGACTCTGGGCAGAGAAATTGCATCCTCAGTACAGAGCTGGTGATAACGTTATTATTATGGGCAGTGGCTCTGTGTCTGTCCGCAGACCCCAAAATGGAGAAACGGGAGCCATCTCCATGCTGTCAGAGTCCCTGGGCTTCCATGATCCCAGCAATTAGTGTCCAGGGTATAGGAGGCCCAGGTCACCTGCAACAGAGCATACTGGGGACCAAGCCCAGACGTCAGCCTCAGTCCCACCGCTCCAAACAGCACAAACGAAGTACAACACCAGAGTCCAGTGAATGAAATTCCTGTAGGTTCCATCCCCAGCTGGAAGCTCTGGCTGCTGCATAGAAGATGCGGTGCATAGTGGCCTCGGTAGCCCAGACCAAAACCCTGGACACGCTCCCCATCCCGGCCATGGAAACCAAGCCAGCGAGTAAAGCTCGGTGGCTGCCTGCCCAACCTGTCCGAAAATGGAGAGCCCAGGAGGACCTTGCAATCCGCATCGGAGCCCTAGAGCGGCCAGGCAGCCACCCTGGCTGCCGGGAGCCGACTGGTAGTGCTGGGTCCTGCCTCATAGGCTCTCTCTTTCCTCAGGGCAGAGAGTGGAGAGGAACATCCTGTCCTTGGCCTGGTCACCTAGCCGCCTCGGGCTGGTGTGCTCCTCTTAAGTGTACTTCCTGAACGCTTAGGGGGCAAAGGAGGGGCGCCCAGGCCACTGGGGCTTCTCTCATTGCCAGGTTGGGCACCTGGAATGTTTTCCTTGCGCTGCTGTGATGCAGTCTCTGTCCAGAAAAGGTCTCTTGCCCCCAAGAAACCGCTACCATAGAAGGCATCTGCTTCCCCCCAGCTAAGGTTCTCTTTATTAAGTTTCCACAATAGAGAAAGGTTGCAGAGTTTGGTCCCTTCCCACTTCGCCAAGTACAGCAAGGTCAGTCATTTCCATACGACTTAATACCTAGTGGGGGCCCCTGGGACATCAGAGCGCATCGGATGGCACGCCACGCCGGGTCAGTGGCACATCGAGGGCTTCTGGGTACACTTCTGCCAAAAGATGTCCAGGAAAGCAACGGCAGCTCCAACTTCGGAAGAGAGACCGCTCCCCGTTGGCTGACTGTCACCGCGCCCGGGCCGGCCCCTTCCGTGGAAAAGCAGAAGCCGAGATGTTTTTATGAAACAGCAGACACACCTCGGCTGCGAAACAGCAAACCCCAGTGTCCGACAACTGTAAACCGGTGTCGACAGGTTGTCAGACAGCCGCGGGGGCCGGCCGGGATAGAGCCCGCGGCCACCGGTCCCGCACCCGCTGCCCCGCCGCCTGCGCGCCCAAGGCGGGAGGAGGTGGCCCGGCCGGCGCGGGGCACCACGTGCTCGCCGGGAGGGGCCGGAGAGGCCGGCTCCGGCGGGCGGGAGGGTGGGAGGGGGCGGGAGGGGAGCCGGGGGCGGGGCCAGCGCTCAAGGGGATGCCAATCAAAGCATCAACTTCAAATTGTGTCTGAAAGCCCCGCCGCCGAGCGGAGGGCGGCCGCCACAGTCGGCACGGGATCGCGGAACCGGGCGCAGCCGGGAGCCGGGCGCCACCGAGCATCGGGCCGAGGAGCAGCCCCCGGCCTCTGCCTCCGGGCCGGTCAGAGCGCGCCCGGCCCGCCGCCCGCTCTTTTCCCCCCTCCCCTGCGCCTCCCCCCGAGCCCCCTGCCTCCCTCCCCCGCCCCTTTAATACTTGCCCGCGGCCGCCGCCGACGACTCCGCGGACATGTCCTTCCCTCAGCTGGGCTACCCGCAGTACCTGAGCGCCGCAGGGCCTGGCGCCTACGGCGGAGAGCGCCCGGGCGTCCTGGCCGCGGCCGCCGCCGCAGCCGCCGCCGCCTCGTCGGGCCGGCCGGGTGCAGGGGAGCTGGGCGCGGGCGCCGGGGCAGCGGCGGTCACCTCGGTGCTGGGCATGTACGCGGCGGCCGGACCTTATGCGGGAGCGCCCAACTACAGCGCCTTTCTGCCCTACGCCGCGGATCTCAGCCTCTTCTCGCAGATGGTGAGTGCGCCCGGCAGCCGCACGCCCTTCAGGCCCGGGCGGCCTCTCCCCTCGGGCCCCAGCCCCGGGGCAGGGAGGGTGGGAGGCGGGAGGGAGGAACTGGCCGGGGAGGGAAGCGCGAGCGGCCCTGCCCGTGGGTTCGAGGCAGCCGGGTCCTGAGCACGCCAAAGAGTCGGCGGGCAATGCCCGGCCACAAAAGGGGTCTAGTAGGTAGTCAGGAGGCCGCAGGAGCAGGCCCCGGGCGCGCGGTCCACGCTGGAGGTCAGGGCCCAGCTCGCCAGTTGCCCCGGCCTGGGGTGGAGGCGGCCGGGCAGGCGGCGAGGCTCTGGCAGCTCAGCCCGCTCTCCCAGGAGTCCCCTCCGTCCCGGTGTTGGGCCGGGCGGGGGAGATGTGGTTGCTCCTTCTTTGGCGGAGCTCACGCAGTTGTAACCGAGTTTAAAGTCTGCTAGATGCTGTCAAAAATCAATGTAACAATGGCGATCGGACGGGCGGGCCTTTGGGCCCGTGGGGTCTCTTAATGGTGTGTGTGTGTGCAACATAGAGATTTAGGGGGAAAAATAAGTTGCAATATTTGTTGGTGTCTAAAATGGTGTTTGCTTTGACTTTTGTAAGTTGCCAAAGTTTTCATTTCATTTGCACCAAAAGAAAAAACACTTTTCTCCTTGGTTACATAATAGAGGATTAAAGAAAACAGTGTCCCTGGGCTTAAAATAAATGGTGTTCTCTTGGTCTTCGGCTCCAGTGAGTGTCAGATGTGGAGGCGGGGGCTCTGCAGAGCACGGACAGGTCTATTGATCCACTGGATCCATTTTTCTTGGTCCGATGCAAGGACAGGGTGAAACTTGGGCTGCTGGTGATCTGCATGCTGGGCGCGGGGGGGGGGGGGGGAAGGGGGGGCGCGTGTGGTGGGGGGAGCAGGGAAGCAGCCCCCTCCTGAGCCAATGCGGACTGGATAAAGCAGCTCTTTAGGCACCCCACCCGCCACAAGGTCTCCCCACTTGCTGAAGAAGAGCGGAAATAAATACCCACCAACCACCCGCAAGCAAAGTTGCACTGGGTTTCCCTGTAACTTTTTCTTGTGGTTTTGGTAAGAAAGCCCATTCCTCAGAAAGCGGCCCCAGCAGCTGCCTTTCAGGTCGCTGGCTATCGAAAAAGATCAGCTCCCATTTTGTTCCGGCAGCCGGGACACGGAGCAAGCGATGAGAGATTTACAAGGTACCCTTTCAAAAAGAATTCCCAGCAGAGAAGAGGCCGCAACGTCTGCTTTGCAATCACACGCAAAAGCATTAGAAGCGTGCAAAGTACACTTTGTAAAGATGAGGCGAAAACGAAATCTGGCCCAGGAAACCTTTTCTCTGTGGCATAAACCACCGAACTAACTGCTCAAAGAAATCTTCTGCTCTTTACAACTTTCTCAGCCTGGAACCCTCTTCTGCAAATGGTAACTGGATGATTGTATGTGGAGGATTATAAATTTTTTACAGAAATTTTGAATGCCGATGCATGTTATTTAGGACCTTCTTGTGTTGCTGAGGGAGGGCACAAACTCTATGTTGAGAACCTGCTTGTCTTGTAGTTTGTTGGCTTTTTTTTTTTTTTTTTTTTGCTATGGGGGTACTGCAGAGAAAGTTCCCCTTGAGAAGTGTGTTTCTTTGTGGTCTCTTGTGGGTTATTGGAAAGGAAGCGTAAACCCAACTCAGATGCTAGGCCTACGCTTCCAAGCTGTCAGGACTAGGGCTTTGGAAGTGAAAAGATAAAATTGTGAGTGGAATATCTGTCTGGGCAATTTATGGTAATAATGAGGCCTAATGAGGTTGTTAGAAAGATAAAATGTTATTTACCAAAAAACCTGATGGGATAATTTGACTAGCTGTGTTTTACTACTGATGATAAAAAGAATATTGATTGCAAATAAATCAGGGCCTCTAAATGCCTTCACACAGTTTGTGCTGCCCGCTGCAGATCAAAGTCAAACTTCAGAGACAAAGTAGGAGAAAGAGGCCCAGGAAACCGGTTCGGCGCTCTCAGCTGGCACTGTGGCCCCGTGCGTTAATATTTTACCAATAAGCCCTTCTTTTGTGTTTGGGGAAAAAAATGGTGTTTTTGTTATTGTTGTTCTTGATGGCCAAGATTAAAATTTTAAATTACTTGTCACCACTGTAGACCTTTAATTGTGGGCGAGCCATTATATGCAGATTAACCTGGAAGCTGTGCTTTCATTTTAAATTGCTAGGTGATTTGAGCCTCTAGAAAATCCGAGTGGTTTATTTTGTTTGACCCCCCTCAGGGATGGAGGGTGGGGGCTTTGGCTGTTGCTTCTTCAGGTTTGGAGAATGTTTTGTAGGACTTGTTAAAAGGTTTTCCCCTCCAGCCAGTGTGAGGCAAATTTGGAAACCCGATTTCTGGAGTTGTTGTGGGGGTGGGGGCTGGGGACCGAGAAGGGCCTGGAGAAATTGAAAGGGTCCGGGGGCTGCTCGAACTGTGGACTGTGTGGACTGTGGCCTTCCAGAGAGGCAAGGATTCTAGAACTTTCCTTGTGTGACAGAATACTCTCCATTATCTATGGAAGGGCAGTTCCTGGAGACAACCGCGGTCTAGATTTCCCCCACTCACCCCTTTCCATCTGGTGGTGTGTGTGTGTGTGTGTGTGTGTGTGTGTGTATGTGTGTGTGAGAATTGGGGCCTTTTGCTCTGGAGCGGACAGGAGCAGCTGCCCCTGACTTTCCCTTGTGTTCTGGGAACTCATCTTTCTCTTTCTCTCTTTCTCCACCCCTATTCTCTCTTTCTTTCTCTCCTCCCTTGCTCGGCCGCGTGGCCACAGGGCTCACAGTATGAACTCAAGGACAACCCCGGGGTGCACCCTGCCACCTTTGCTGCCCACACGGCCCCGGCCTATTATCCCTACGGCCAGTTCCAGTATGGGGATCCCGGGCGGCCCAAGAACGCCACGCGCGAGAGCACCAGCACGCTCAAGGCCTGGCTCAACGAGCACCGCAAGAACCCCTACCCCACCAAGGGCGAGAAGATCATGCTGGCCATCATCACCAAGATGACCCTCACGCAGGTCTCCACCTGGTTCGCCAACGCGCGCCGACGCCTCAAGAAGGAGAACAAGGTGACGTGGGGCGCACGCAGCAAGGACCAGGAGGACGGCGCCCTTTTCGGAAGTGACACGGAGGGAGACCCGGAGAAGGCCGAGGACGATGAGGAGATCGACCTGGAAAGCATCGACATCGACAAGATCGATGAGCACGATGGTGACCAGAGCAACGAGGACGACGAGGACAAGGCCGAGGCCCCTCGAGGAGCGCCTCCCGTGCCCACCGCCCTCGCTCGGGACCAGGGATCGCCGCTGGCCGCCGCGGACGCGCTCAAGACCCAAGGCTCGCCTCTGGGCTTGGCCAAGGAGGTCCCGGAGCCCGGCAGCACTCGCTTGCTGAGTCCCGGCGCAGCGACAGGCGGCCTGCAGGGCGCACCTCACAGCAAACCCAAGATCTGGTCCCTGGCCGAGACCGCCACCAGCCCCGACGGCGCGCCCAAGGCCTCGCCGCCGCCGCCCTCCGGCCACCCTAGCGCGCATGGCCCCCCTGCGGGCGCGCCGCTGCAGCATCCCGCCTTCCTGCCCAGCCACGGACTGTACACCTGCCACATCGGCAAATTCTCCAACTGGACCAACGGGGCCTTCCTGGCGCAGGGCTCGCTGCTCAACATGCGCTCTTTTCTGGGTGTCGGCGCGCCCCACGCTGCACCCCACGGCCCGCACCTGCCCGCGCCGCCGCCGCCGCCCGTCGCCATAGCCTCCGGGATGCTCCATGGAGACAAGGCCTCCGCCCGCAGCAGCCCTGCGCTCCCAGGTATGGCCCTGGGAGCGATTTTTCAGTCCTGGGCTGGGAATCCTGAGCCTGGGGTGATCATGGGGGCGGGGAGACACCATCCCGGGAGGGAGGGAGAGAGACGGTGGCCACAGAGCCCGGCGGAGCGGTAATCTTCATTTGAATTCAGGGAGCCTGGCCATAACCCTGGGACATTCCTGAGAGAGCTGTGCGCTGCCAGAGAAGGGGGATGTTTCTCTTGGAGACCCTGCCCCAGTGGCGGGAGAGAATGAGTTGGGAAGGAGGCCCGCGCACCTCTGCCCCCACCCTCACCCCCACTTGTCTCCCGGCCCTAATTATGCCTCTCCCTCTCCCGCGCAGAGAGGGACATTGTCCCCAGGCCGGACTCGCCGCCGCCACAGCAGTTAAAGTCGCCCTTCCAGCCAGTGCGCGACAAGTGAGTGCCTTTTGCTTTACCACTGGTCGGGGAGGGAGCAGGGCTGGGTGGCGGTGGGGTCACAGAGTCCGTGTTGAAGGAACCTTGCCCACCAGCCTACGTGGCCGGGCCAGCTGGGTTCACCCCGTTTCTCCCCAGCCGGGAGCCCCGCGGGCCAGGCAACCTGTTCCCCTGCCCCTTCCCCAGGCGCTTGGCTGGCTGACCCGGCGATGCGGGGTCCCAGCGTCCATCCTCTGACAATGCCTTTGCCTTTTTGTTTTGCTGTGTTTTCCTTGCAGCTCGCTGGCCCCACAGGAGGGAACGCCTCGGATCCTAGCAGCCCTCCCGTCCGCCTGATTCAGGGTCTTCTTTTAGTTTTGCGGGGGGAGGGGGGAGGAGTTTGGGAGGGAGGGGATGAGGGAGGAATTAAGACAAATATTTCAGACCGGTGTAAAGAACAAACATGGCAACGGCGTCCACGACTTCCGTCGTCCATTGCTTTCTGCAGAAAGGGGTTCGTCCCCGCCGGGCTCGCTGGAGTCCAGACAGCTGGCCTCCGCCTGCGACGGGGCTCTGGTGGCTGTCACCAGGCTCTCTGGTTGATTGTCGGTTGGGTAAATGCCCCCACGTGCTTGTGTCTTTTTTTTTTTTCTCTCCTTTCTTTCTGTATATAGAGTGATTTCAGATTGTAAATAGCGCGTCAGCGAACTTGTCTAAATCATATATTTTTGTCTAATAAACTAAATGAAACGAAGCCACTGATCCTGCTGCTGTTTGTGGCTGTGGGTCCCTGAGCCCCAGAATTCTCGCCAGGCACGAGGAGGTGTGGGGGGGGAGGAGAGACCCCTCAGAGAGCTCCCACCCAGAAGGTGGGTGTTTCTCAGTCTTGGTTGTTGAATTTGTGATATTGTCATTAGGGCGGGTTCTTGTTGGCAGTTTGATTCTTAATAGCTCTTACACATACATTTGGGACACCCCTTTCTCAGGACAGAAATGAGTTCGATCTTAGTCCGTTTATAAAACTGATTTTTTAAAGTGGGCAACAGTGTAGGAAAAAAAATTTCCAATCTTGTCCCCAAAGGGGAACTTCAAACCAATTTATACTTTAGTTGTCTCAACTGCATGGTTGCAGAGGTCTTTCATGGGTAGAATGGAGACATAATGAAGTATGAAATTTTGCTTTGAATGTATTTTTAGTTATTTGGTTAAATCAAACGTGGAGAAATTGGAAGACTTTTTAAAACTCTCCCGATGGAGGGCGGGGATGCAGTGAGGGGTGTTCTCTGGGCATGTGAGTGAGGGAACTGGGCAGTGGTGGTAGGGACAAAAAGAAGGGAGCTTTTGGTCTTCAAGGGACGCCCCCTTTAAATTACTGCGCCCTTGAGTGTGTGCAACGAGTGAGCGAGCCAAGGACCAAAGAAATCCCCAGAGGTTCCAGGCGGGGACTGCAGGCAGCTGGGAGTCAGGCGAGAGACAATGCTGGCCGGCTCCCGCCTCGACTGCACGCGGGAAGGCAATGGTCGGGGGCGGCTGGGGACCGCGATTTGCTCCAAGCAAGACCCGCCTCAGCAGCCTGCTGCTGGGGTAAAGCTGACTTTGTTAAATTTGTGAAAACAAACATTGCCCAAACTGCCAGTGAGCGAAGGAAGGAGGTGGCCTTAGGGGGAACTTTCCCAGTGGGGAAGAGACCAAGCCCCCGAGTCCTACAGAGCACCCCCCCCCCCCCCTCCGCCGCCCAATACTGGCCCTGGAGCCCCTTCAGGACCCTCCATCCCGGGCGCTAGTGGCGGCGAGGGGCGGGGCTATCTGCTCCGGCTCCTCTGCGGCTGGGGAAAGGGGGCGATTTGCTTTGAAAACGTTGAGTCACTACCCTCTCTGGTGATCGATCGCTTCTTTCTCCAGCGGCCCCGGACGCCCAGCAGTTTAGATGAAGAGTCCATTCCCCACCGCCGTGAAGGAGGCGCGAAGGACGTGGCGAGGGCCGGCCGGGACGGTCGGCGGGTGGGGGTGTGCCGCAGGCCGGGCGGGTGGAGCCGCGGGGGAACAGGGCTTGGGAGCCGAGTGGAAGGCCGGTTTAGGCCGTGGCGGAGCGGCTTGCAGTCCGAATGGACGTGTTCGAGGCTCCCTCTATGGGCCGAAAGAGGAACGAGGCCCCGAAGGCAGCGCCGATCTCCTGGGGTGTGGTGCAGAATTTGGGGGTCCTGGCCCTTGGGAATGCCTGGGACAAAAGCTTAGATTTGTGGTGTTGGTTTTTTTGTGTTCTTGGGCGCCACCCACTTGTTTGAATTTTTGGGATGCGGTGGTGCCTGGCCTGCTAGATAGGCTGCTGGTATTGGCGGGAAGTGGGGGGTGGAGGGTGGGGGAAGAAAAGGAAGTGGGTCTCAAAGTTCAAGCAGGTCGTTTTCATTGTCTCAGGTGGGGTATGCCGATTCAGAGAGGAGTTCCTCCTCTAGGGCTTTGCAGGTCAGAGCCCTGGGCTCTCCTCATTCCCGGGTTCTTGGAGACTGTGCACCAGAGGTGTCCTGAACCTTTGAGGAGGAATGGAGTCCTTGGCCCAAGGACACGCTGCTTTGGCATCCTTGTGCTGGGAGACCCCTTCTGCAGGACTGCTGGAAGCAGCAGGTGGGATTCAGGTGGGCAGTAGAGTTTTCTGCCAGCAAGCCTCCACTCTCTTAAATAAAATAGGATGGTCCAGGCACGCATCTCCTGCTAGCCCACTCTATAAATTCATTCTTCTGGTTTTTTAATCCGATACATTTGGGATCCCCAGCGCTGTCCCTTAGGTGGCTGGCCAGCAGGTGCTCACCAGCGGGACTCTGGGCCTTAGAACTCAGTGGCCTGTTGTAAGTAAGGCCCGTGCTCACTCCTGGGGACTAGAGAAGCTCCCGTACAAATAAGTCAGATCACTGGCTTCAGAATTATTTTTCTTGAAAGAAAAGCTAGAAATGAATTTTTAATGGAATACTGAAGAGCATTTTTGTTCTTTCTGTGCCATTTGTTTACATCTTTCCCAACCACACGGCTACCTAGGTGTGTGTAGCCTGCGGGCTTGCAGACCCTATGGGAATGCCTGTACCAATAACATTTCAGCTTCTAAAATGTCTGGGGAAAGACATAGACACCCACTTTTTTTTTTTTTTCCCCCTGAAGCCAAAGCAGAAATTCCTCTGCAGCTTTTTGCACCCACAAAGGTGCTGTCTCATTCCACTCCTGCCCAGGGGACAGACTCAGAGGGTGGCAGTGGTTTTGTGACCTGCAAGGAGGAGCCTGAACCCCAAGAGGGATAGACTTGAGGGATGACCACAGGATTAATGTTTGCACCTTGGTATGCCCTCCTCCCTAGGTGACAGACTACCCTGTCTGTCCAGGACAGATTTCTGTCTCCATGGAGTCTGCTGGTGGGGGAGGGTAAGAAATACTGTTTGGAAACTTTCCTCTTTCTGCTTCAGCCCAGGTTGGTACCCAAGTGACAGGATAATCGAGGCACAGCCCTGCTAGATTCCTGGCCTGAGAACTTGGGGCGTGGGCCCAGGCCCCACCCCAATCGTGATCTGTGAGAGCCTCTGCTCCCACTGCTCTTCCCTCCCCCCTCCCATCAATTATATTCCCCAGCACATTTATCTCGCCTGCAATATGGAGAATTCATATTCATATCTTGGTTTTAGTGGTCTGACACTGATTAATGTCATACGCGCATTGGCTCCGAGGGGCGCGCCATCCGATGAATCATGCCCTATAAAGTTTCTGTTGTCCTTGTAGATGGGACTTTATCAGACAGAGCTCAGAAGCCAAGAAGGCACCGGGGGGGGGGGGGGGGGAGGAAGAAAGGAGGGAGGAAGGGAAAAGAGAGAGGGAGGGCAGGGTGGGCTGTGGTTCCCAGGTGCCCTTAACCCTATGTGGGAGGCCGGGAACCCTGGACCCTTTGCCAGAACTCTTCTCCCCAGTTGGGCACTTCCATTTCAGTCCTCCTCAGCTTCCCTCTCACCTTTGCTTCCAGATTGATTCCTCTTAAGGCAGGCTCAGAGTGAAGCCGGGTCTTCCAGGTAGAGATGTTGGGTTTATGGACACTGATTTGGGGAGATTGGAGCCCTCAATGCTCTTCAGACTGTGACAGGGTTCATTCAGTTTGCCAGCAGGAATATGGTTTTGACCCTATTGAAAAGTTGGGGGGGTTGGGTTTGACCAGCAGAAAGGAAGCCCAGCTGGCCTGGACCTGGCTCCAGGCATAGAGGGCAAGCAGGGGAGGGAGTGGCTCAGGTCTGCAATCTAGGGCGGAAGGCCAGGAGACAGCTAGGAGGTAGGGCCGCTGTGCTTTGGGAGTGATGGCCCTCCTAGCTGCCTGGAGATGTCCCTGAGCTCATGTGGAGGGAGTAAACTCCCACCCCCAAACATTTCCTCAGCTATGGCTGCCCACCCCAGGGATCAGATGGATGGTCTCCAAGTAAAAAATACCCCTGCCGCCCAAAGTCCCGTGATCAGGTGCTTGCTCAGCTGGGGAGGCAGAGCTTCCCATGTCTTCTGAGCCTGGTGGAATCAGGGGCTCTAATTATAGCGCCCAAGCTGAAAGGCCACATAAGGTCACTGCTGGAGGTCTTTTGTCCCCCTGCTTCTGAAGCTGGATATAGATCCGCTCCCCTCCCACCGAGGACCTCTTGAGGGCAGCTGGCTTGTCAGCACAGGGAACACTGGATGTGGGACCCACCGTCCAGTTAGAGGCCCATGTCAGTGTTTTAATTTATTTTTAAATAAAAAGAAATCAGGAACTTTTAGGTGGAAGACAATGTTAATAAATAATATCCATTTATTCATCTTTAACCAATACAGTTGTGACATTCACTTTTTAAAACATTTATCTTCAATGGAGGGAGAGGCCCAACACCCAGGGAAGTCACCTTGTGGCCCAGGCCAAGGAGACCCTGGAGATGCCTAAAATCCTGAAATTGTTTTAAATGGAAAGTCAGAGAATTGAGGTTTCCCTGAACCTAGGAGCTCCCCAGCCCCCCTCTCCCCGTCTCCCAGTGGACCTTGCCATCTCACATTCAGGCAGCAGGGACTCGGGGCGCTCAGGCCAAGGGTCCAGATCCCCCAAGCTATTGACCTGAACTGCTGCGCCCTGGTGAGCAGGCAGAGGCCAGAGTCAGGGCAGATGCTGCCTACCCAGCTCCCTGCCCCACCTGACGTCCTGGGAAAGAAAGGCCAGTATCCCAGGCAGGCAAAGGGCAGTGGTCCGGGTTGGAGCAGAGGCCAAGCAGCCCCCTACCCACCTCATGAGGGTTGCAAGGGGCAGCCCTTTCTGCGCGCTGCTGTTTGGCTTCTGAGGGTGCCTCGGGTCTCTGATCCCCTAATCCTTTTATCCA